TCAAAATACATGTATTGTATTTTAAGCAAAATTATAATATTCCAAACGCTTTGAAAGTACGCCTTTGATATTTTTCTTGGTTCTCGAAATACCTATTGAAAAAAAAAAAATTATTTTAGGACAGTTTGGCATTTAATTTTATGATCTAATTTGTTTCGAATGTCAAAGCTTTAATCGTCAGTTTCAATAATTTAAGCTCTGATATTACATTTGTTGTACGATAAATTTTTCAAGTGTGTTAATTGACTGCAGGATAGAGAAGAGTACTCGGATCTCTCTATTCTACAGCCAATCAATAGACTCAAAAAATTTAACGTACATACGACGAAAATGGACAAATATTGGCCTCATACATGTCCGTTCTAAACCATGAAACAGAAACAACTAGATGCGTTCGATCCTGAGACCCGAAAATGGCTTCATGTTAGCAAACTGCGTAGAGATGGCGGTTCAGCATAACATTGCATTTCCATTTCCGAATTAGATTTATCATAACTGTCAATTAAAATACTAAATCTGTATTTATATTGCTCAATTTAATTCTGTATAACATAATTTTCTAAATTTTATATCTAGAAGTATTCAATAAAAAAGAACTAATCCAGAAATTAATGACGCTGAGTGTATCTACGCGCGCGTATTTTGAACAACCTAAACTTGTCAACTTTTAAACACCGTTTCTTTTGAAATTAAAAAGTAAATATTTTCTTCTGTATAAATCTTCTTACTTAATCATATATAACACAGTTTCAACATAAAATAAATAACATGTGCCAAAAGAATAGATGGGGAATTAAAAAATGTATATCACATAGTTTTAGTGTAGATATATATCGAGATAAAATTGTGATGCAATTGATGGCTTATAATACCATTTTAAATCCATATATCTGTTATTAAAATAAAATGTTTTTGTATATATGTATATATGTATATATATATAAAGATATGAATAATAAACTGTAACACTTGATTCATTTTGATACATTGAACATCGTATGATCAACATGGGGTGTGTTCTACTTAATGTTCACAACGCTTGCGAGCATCATTTCATTCTTTTTGTTTATCAAATGTTGAACAAGGATGAAATGATGCATGCGGACGTTGGAACGTTAAATGGATTGCATCCGTGATAGAGGTTTGTTTCTTTCTCTCTCAAGGTGATAGATATATAGTGAATGAATAAAAAACGAACAAATTGTATACGAATATATTTTCTATTTAGATATTTACGTTATAGTAAATGCAAATGAAATGATTATTAGAATTTGATTCATTTGCAATTTGACTTATAAAACAGTGCAATGTCTTAAATATAATCAAAGCGTCTTAAATAAAATTTTCACTTTCGCTATTCGTTAGTTGTTTATTCACTCACGTATAGTCAATTTAAGTAATCGCGTGTACATGGATGGATTATAATACTGCACATCCATGTACACAAAATTATATGAATTTTATGTGCCAATTGAATATTTGCTGCCTCGTTGTAATATTGGTTTAAATCAGACACAATCTCGTTATGTTACATACTCTCAAGAGATTTTTTTTACAGTTCATCGTGCTAAATTACAGTTAGGGCGAGAAATAGGAAGGGTTTGTTTCTCAAGCCACTTAAGTGCTTGAATGTTCTTCGGTCCTTGTAGCAAAGGTTTTAAAACTTCCAAACATTTTACATGATAATTATTCAAATATTCGATCTGGAATAAGATGTCATGAAACATAATTGAAATATTTTTAAATAAAATGAGAAATATGTGAGAACGCGCATACCTCTTTATCAGTGAGCATTGATATATCAAGCAGACTCGTTTGAATAGGTACAAGCGTCATGGTTTCAAATGTCAGAAAACCTCGGTTTTTATGATTGTAAGGTGTCTTTGCAGGAACAACTAACTCAACATTCTCTAATCTGACACCAAACTTACCGTCTTCGTAATATCCTGGTTCTGTTTCAAAAATATATAAGTTGTTTTGATTGTTTCGATTACGTAAACGATTACATTTTATTTATATGTTTTTATCATACCGTTTGATAAGAACATTCCTAGTTGTAAACCTGGGTCATCTGGATGCGGCTTCCATGAGATACCAATTGGCTCTTCGTGGACATTGAGATAAGATCCTACTCCATGGCCAGTACCGTGAAGATAATCGAGACTAAAGTTAATTCACAGTTAGATATAAAACGAGTTTGATTTTTTCGCATAAAATACGTTTTCATATAATATTTTAATAAAAATTTTCATACCCAACGCTCCATAAACTTTCACGTGCCAGTGTATCTAGGTAATTTCCTTTCGTTTTCAAGGGGAATACCATTGTCGATAGCCGGCATTGTCCTTTAAAAACTCTGGTGAAACATTCACGTTCGAAACTCGTAGGTTCACCAAAATGTAACGTTCTCGTTACATCTGTCGTACCATCATGATATTGTGCACCAGAATCACAGAGATAAAGTTCTTTATTTGTAATAGGCACATCAGTCTCTGCCGTAGGTGCATAATGAATAACTGCTCCATGAGGACCGACAGACGATATAGTGGTAAAACTTAATCCGACAAAATGAGCTTGTTCCCTTATAGAAAAAATTAATTTCTTGTATCTACATTATCTACATTTTACATTGTAAAAAATGTATTGCTTTAAAATATACATAATTGACTTACTGTCTAAATTGTTCCAGCCGCGTCGCACCTGAAATTTCTGTAATCAATTCGTTCGTATTCTTAATCTTATCTTCTAGCCAAGCAAAATATTTTACAAGAGCGACAGAATCTCTCACATGCGCCGCTCTCATCCCATCTATTTCGGTAGCATTCTTTATCGATTTCATAACGCTAATAGGTGTAATGTCCGTGTGTTTCTGAATAGTCGCAACATCCGGATGTAGCGCAAAGCTGGATTTATTGCTGATCCATATTTTATCTTTCTCAAATGAACACGATTGTACGAATGATTTTATATAAACATGTATATCCTCGTAGGCGTGAAAGATTGGATCAACACCCTCGTTTTTCAGTTGTTCCAATGCTTCCTGGCTAAGCCTACTTCTATCTATAAAGATATGTACATCTTTCAAAGTGAGAATGACGTATGCAAAAAAGACAGGATTGAAAGGTATATCAGATCCTCTCCAATTTAATAGATATGCAATCGCATCCAATGCAGTCACTACAAGTATCGTCGTGCCATTCTCTCGCATAGCATCGCGACACGCTTTTACTTTGTCTCCTGCACTTCGACCTGAATATCGTAACAATTGTGGCAAAACTATGTTGGTTGTTGGTGCTGGCTGATCGTCACCCCATACTTTGTCCACCAAGTTTTCAGAAAGTGGGATCAAATCGTGACCAGCATCGATTAAACTGTTCTGCAATCGCGTCCATTCCGTGAAACTTATTAGATTAGCGTCCGCTCCGACTACGGATTTTGGTGGTAAATTCGCGGAGAGCCATGCGGTAATGGTAGGTGTGTCCAGTAAACCTTCCCTCATCAAAGTCCATGCCTCTGACGGATCTAACTCCGACATAGCTTGTTGGTAATATCTTCCATCAGTCCACAACAATGCTGCGTCGTGCAGTATGACTACCGTGCCGTAGGAACCACGGAATCCGCTGATGAAACATCGTCTCTGATCTCGCTCCGTCGAATATTCTGATTGATGTGCGTCCTCTCCAGTGACGATCAGAGCCTGGATACCTTTTTTTCGAATGAGAGACCATCCACTAGGTTGAACATTCTTCATCAACGCCCGAAGCTGCGTTAGCTTCCAAAGCCCGTTCTTTTTTACCATCTTATGCCACAAAGAACATTTTGTTACTTCTGAGTCCAATATCACCCATACAACACAGTTCTCCAAGGGATGTCCTAAACTCATCCTGAGGATGTTCTACATCCTAAGGACATCTCATGGAGTACTGTATTATATCAAAAGTGATATCTCAGATAACATAACATGTCTAAAAGATGTCATAAAGACATCTTTTGGTACATACATATCAAATGTTTCTATCAATGTAGATGAACTTTAATCTTGGTTTAACTTACTCTTATCTTTTTCTAGTTCTAAAAATTAGAAAAGAATAAAGAATAAGTTAAACCAAGATTAGAGTTAATTTACATTGGTACAAATGCCAATTTCTACCAACGTAGTTTAATTTTAATCTTGAATCAATTTAACTCTCCAGCTTTTTCTAGTTCAAAAAATTAGAAAAAGATAATTATCAAATTGAACCAATATTGAAGTTAATCTACATTGGTAGAATAACAGGTATAAGGTCCAATTCCACCAATATAAGATTAACTTCAATCTCAGTTTAACTTATTGTTTATCTTAGAATTAGAAGAAAGTAAAGAATAAACTGAACCAAAATTAAAGTTAATCTTATATTGGTGCAACCAAGCCTAAAAGATATTTAAAAGACATCATAAAGATGTCTTCTGGACACTGTTGTCTGATATACCAACAAAATAAAACAACCAGAACAATTAGTAAAAAGCTTGTTCCTTACCTTGTGAAATATTATTCAAACACTAGCGTCACTCTATCGACGCATCTGTCAATGGAAAGTAATAAGGATTCGTTATTTTCCAGAGAGAACCAAGAGAGAAATTACGGGTGCCACGTTATCTATTAATATCGCAAACACTCAACTTGTGTCGTCCTTTTGAAAGATCAGACTATCTTATCTTTATGATAAGAAAAAGTGATCGCGCATCCTATGCTTATAAGTCCTTATCTTCTCGGATATAAACGCGTGGAAGATGCTCTTTCAGATAGAAATGCTCCGCTACACGGTCGACAACACGTATCCAGCTCCTGGAGCATCATACATATGTAGTTCAGTGGCATGTGGTATTTCGACCGAGACTTCGACTTCGATACCTCGTAACCTCGCCGCGTCGTCCATCCCCAATCGCGCGATATATCGAAATGGGAGAGGGAGAACATCGACACGATGCAGCCAATCAGCATGCACTACGTCATCTTTCAAAATTTCACGCCATCGATGTCACGTTCTGTCCAGTCGTTTCATTCAGTTTCGTTTGTTTCTATATTGGTATAGTGATTCTAAGCATCAGACAGATGGGAAATTTTATTTTCTCAACAGTTTAGAAACTTGTCGTTGTCAGGTGTCTCCTTGAGGAAGATGCAGAAGTGACAGCCGTGATCGTGGACCTGAGATACAAATGAAAATAGAGCGCGTTGAAAAAAAGGTATTTTTGTAGGTTAAAAGATCTGTTTTATCTACTGAACAAACAGCAGCAGGACGTACGAATTGCGCGCGATATTGCAATGTAATCGATACATTCTGCGTCCATTTGATTGGATAATTATTTATATGAACAAATTTGTCACGGAGCTTTTCAAAATAATGTAACAAACTGCAAGGCTAGATATTGTTTTTCGTATCACAACGATATAAATTATTCTAGGATTCTCTGTTAATTTTATTCGAGCATACTTACAGATTTCTAATTTTAAAATGTAATTTAATGGTAATTGTAGTCTGATTTTATATTTGAGATCGTTTAAATACGATTTTGAGGTTTTAATGAATTATTTTGTTGACTAAACAGAATTTTCAAACCACTTGAGATCAGATTCAATTAGAGATGATCTCAAGTATAAGATTGGAGTATGAATACTCACAGTATAATTTCCTTTAAAAATCACTTTTAATTTCACTGTTCTTTTTACAGCATCAAGCGGCGACTTTGATTGTTCAGATTCTTTTTTTTATAAACGCAAAACATCGAGCAAGTGCAGATTCAGCGAAACTTGAGAAGTGACACACATGTTTATCCATATTGATAAAAAAAATATGAATATCTAAAATTTACTCACAAGAGAATTCTGTAGAGATGTGAGTTTGTTTTTTTTTTTTTTTGATTTTGAAATTGATCCTCCTCATCGAGCAATTGTCATAATAATCATATCCTGTATTATTATGATGCGCCAAAGACGGCAGCAGGGCCTGCAGAATGGCATATTCTTGCTGTGTATGCAGGCTCTGAACTTTGGACTTGATAAAATACCACCTGCTACTCTAATTGGAATCATCGCACAGGTAATCTTTATCAAACATTTGATATAATTTTAACAATCTGGCTTTGCTATATTTTAGGTCAATCTTTATAATTAATACAGTTTACTCACTTTAATAAACTTGAATTGATCTTTCTAATCGATTGCTATACAGTCTTTAGTTTTTACAAGCTTTTACCAGCATCATATCCATAGAAAGTAAATATTTTTCTCTTTCTAGACTTTACTGTATATGGGTCTGATACGGGTGCCATGGAACGCGGAAGATGTATGCATATCAGCTATCAAAATAATCAAGTACAAAAACTGGCGGTCGTTTTTCCTTTCAAATTTCGAACATGGATCCGACATGCATCTGTACTACAACATGCTTTCTTTTATTCTGAAAGGTTCTTACTTGGAGCCCATCTACGGAACGATGAATTTTGTACTTTTACTGGGTGTATTGTCTATCGGATGTAGCGCTATGTATGTATTCCTAGGATATATTCTGATGCAGTTAACAGGAGATTACGGATATTTCACGGCTTGCGCTATCGGTTTTTCTGCCACATTATTTGCATTAAAAGTTATTGCGCTGTGCGAAGAACGCGACAAATTGCACAATATCAACGGATTAATAGTACCAAGTAAACTAGCGGTGTGGCTCGAGTTAATATTGATACACTTGTTGGTCCCAAATTCTTCCTTCATCGGTCATCTGGGTGGTATTTTGGTTGGATGCTTATATTCTTATTCTTTTGTTGGAGAAAGGATCGACAACTTGATACATATGATAACTGGTACACCTATTATACACGAAGAACAATTTTATAGAAGGCGAAACAGGCTATTTACGTAATATTTTGTAATTTTCACCAATTCAACATATTTGCGGCTCTAACTTAATAAATATATATATATATATATACACATTGAATCGAATTATATAAAAAAATTATACAAATAATTCCGATGGAGTACAACCAGAGATGAGAGTTTAATTTGTAAGGCTTCTGTGATCCTGAATAAATAATTTATAATATATTAATATATATTGCTAACTATAAATATTTTTATAGATAAATAATGATCATTTTTGTAATTATGGTTTATTTAAAATAAAATCTAAATGCCTATATTTGTATATTTGTTCTTATTACCGGCCATTAAATTCAACCCCTAAAATATTGACATTTTATCCTATATGATGTACATGAGTTATTTCTCAATTTATCCCTCCCCCCCTTTTCAATTATTTTATTTATAAGATTTTAAAGATACATTTATTCGATTTTTACTTTATGTATTGTCATGCAAATTTATATTAAATGTTAAATACAACAAATAAATTATAGATTATTTCATGTAGCCACATACTGATGTAGAATAATGCTTTTATCTAATTCAATTCTTTAATAATTTATAATTATAATGTTTTTAATTTGCAATGTAAAAATATGATGACTTTAATGAAAAGAAAAACTAAAAGATATTCAACCATTTTTAATGTTTTATTATACATATATAAGGATTTTACCTTCAACTTGTTTGTAAAATTTTACGCAATTTATACAGTGTAATATTCGGTATGCTAGAAGAGCTCTGCGCTATCGTGATTGAGTTCACTAAAAATAAATATGGAAAGTGAATGATATCCTTATCAAGTATGAAAAACATTTACGTGTTTGTGAAAACTTACAGATTGATTTATCGTCGATTGGATATGGTATATTATAGAATATAAAATATGCACACATTTTAGCTAGAGATGCAGTATCGGAGAATTGTACTTTTCCAGTCGTAAGATATTCTTTAAACACAGATTTCATATCTAAAGAGAAAAAAAAGTTAAATATAACAAAATTAACAATAAATTATTGGCATTATTGCAATGCCATGCTTTAATAAATACCGTGCTCCCATTTATCCAGAATAATCGATGTTTTCTGTTTAATTGCGAGCATACTTTCTATGCTGAGTAATGGATTTTCATCATCCATAAAGTTGCTTTTCCTCGACATTTGTGACAAAAGAAGTTTTATTTGCCATATCGCAAAGCTGTTTGGTTGTTCCTCGATAATTTTTATACTTTTAATTATATGCAACCATAACGGTATAAGACTTACTTTATCTTTTGTAATGCATTCGTACACAATTATTGCAAACATGTGAAGGAAGTACTGCTCAAATTCTGACATTTTGCATTGTACATCTGTAAATTTAAAGTTGTATTATTCGATGAAAATGTTATTATTTTGCGAAATGTACAAGCGAGAGAAATAAGAGAGCTAGCATAGAAAAAGGAGATGTATCAGTATAGATGAGAATTACTTGAAAAGATATCATATGATAATATCTCTTAATTTGTAAATTAAATAGTTGTAAATATAATTCATACTTTTTTTATATAAAAAACTCGTATAATTTACAAAAAAATTATATAGAATATATTAGGTACCTACTAATATTGAGATAAATGTATATATTAAAAGTGTATATTAATTGTACCATTTTGCGACGAATGCTTAATACTTTCGGGACGAATCATTCCTTTTTTAGACCATTGCAAAAAAGACATCACTATGTTCAATACAGTTTTATCATTTGTAAACGATGTAACATATTCTGGCCGCGCAGCCCATGCGATTGCATTTTCCGTCGTCAGAGTTTGGGCCACTAAGCTTCTAAAACCCTATAATAAATTGAAATAAAACGCTCATCAATAATATTTGCAAAGATGTCTAATGAAATACATTTAATATTTATATAACTTTAAGCTATTTCTTTAAGTAATAATGTTTTACATGAGGATCTTCCAGATACGATAAACAACCAGCTCTCTGCTTAATGCTTAAGAAATCATGTCTCTCTAACATGTTTTCTAATTGTTGCCAGTTGTGATGTTTCAAAAATGTAATTTTCCAGTATCTCGAATCTTTTAATTCAATCTTCTTCAAGCTACATAACTGTGGTAATAAACAGGGTGCTTGTAGACTGATCTCTTGTCCGTCAGCTTCTTTGTCAGTTTCGAACGTTAAATGTATTGTCGCATAACAATACTGACCAGTATCTATGTCTCTCGGTAAGATAATACGTGGTTCAGCTGCTAATACGTATAAATGACGTAAAGCTTGTAAATGATACCTATCGAAATAATAACAATGCTTAGATACAAAAGATTTTAGAGTATTATCATCTAAAAAGTGTGCAAAGAAAGCTTTTTTTAAGCTTTTTTTATTGTGATAAAAATAATTTTCATTCACAATTTTTTTCTTTTTTAAAATCTTTTAAAAAATTAAAGGATCATTATAAGAACAACATTCACAAACCTATTGTCATTGCTGTGGGTTGGAAACTTAGGGAAAAGCGAAATTATCAGAGCCGCCACTGCATTCGGGCTGTTGGAAAGTGTATATCTTCCACCACCCAAAAAAAGAAGACCGAGAGCCATGTGGGTTGCTAAATGAGATCCATATGTGACTACACCGCTGGTGAGTCCTACGCGAGTGCGTATGTGTCTGCATATCCTCATAATCTGCAAATTTAAATACAGAATTGTCAATAAGTACTTCTTGAGTCACTGTCAGCAAATATCAAGACATACATCTAAATTGCCAGTACCCGCCATCACCACTGCAGTTGAAAGCAGAACAACATTTAGACACGTTTCAACGGTGGATTTGCCAGCCAATTCGGCTATAGTTTTATGTGACAATGCCGTGAACATCTGAGCATAATTATACAAAGTCTTGAAAGCGTTCTTATTAGCAGTACCTGCATACCTCAGCCCCAGTGCCATGCAAGCACCCGCTATAATGTTGCAGTAGGCCTGGCTATAAATTATAACGATAAATAGCATTTTGTATATCAGATAAAAATGAATGTAGAGATTCAAAAATGCTTTTTTGAGAAGATACAATTACTTACTTGATAGTTTCTAAATCCACATTCTGCGTAACTTCTGGCGTAGGTTTTTGCAATCTATATTTATAAACGATATTCGGCACATGACTAGAAACCCATGACTTGGTTGGCTCGATATCATCCCACAAAATTAATGATTTGGCGAGCACTCTTAATAGCAGAAAATCTGGCCTTACAAATTCCAATAAATATTGTGTATCAGGTGGTTGCATCCATTCTGCTACTGCACGATTTCCGGTATTGAAGTACATTAATCCTAAAGCTATCGTTGCTCCCGGGCTTGTTACATCGATATTTATCGAATCACCTTCACGTATCTGATAACTGTAAACAAAGAAACAATTTATAAATTGAAAAAAATTGTTGTACTTTGATTGTATTTTAATGAGAAAATGTGCAGAAACTTATAGAATTTTTTACGGAAAAGGTTTTAAATTTATTTTAATTTTACATCTTTTGAAGCAATTTTTTTAAATTTAAAATATTTAAAGAGTTGTACGAATTTTTTAATTATAAAAATTTAATTATTATATAAATTTCATTGTACCTAGGAGACTTGTATTTATCTTTCTGTGCTCCAGAAAAGGGTCTTATGTGTCCACCGACCATATAATAGTGCAAAGTATCAGGTATGCTCCCAGGTACATCTGTTCCACCACCAGAGCCAAGTATAACTAAACCTAATGCTAATCCTGCTGCTAAGGAATATGATTCGCGATCTACACAATTCTTCATTTCAGGTCCTGGCGGCCTACCTATAAAGATAAATTTATATTAGCATTCATATTAGCAATATATGTATATATTGTGTGTGACAGATAATTACCAATTTCAGATAATAAAGCATGCGAGATATGCCTATGCGCAGTTCCTTGATACACAAGGCCAACTCCCATTAGCGCCGCTACTTGGACATTTTGTTGTACATTTAATTCGATACTCGTCGGTGGTAAAAGTGTTTCCACGTGCAATGATAGTAATTTAGTCATAGATACATTCATCGTGCCACGATGTGTTGCTGATAAGCCCAGTAAAAGTCCAACACTAGTAGCTTCGTGACAATCGGCTAGATATTCGTATGTACTTAAAGGAGCTAAGTTTTTCAGATGTCCATTTAAACCAAGAGCCATCAGAAATCCTGAATGTTCTACACCGTATTCACCCTGTTGCTGTTTATTGTACACTATCCATGTCGAGTCGATATTCGCAGCATCCGGATGAATGCAGAGGCCTGCAGCTACGCCATTATGAAAAAGCGGCCACAGATTCATATTTGGAGGAACATCTATGTGAGTTAATTCGACGGTAGTTCCACGGGGCGGTGCCTTACCTAATGAAAACGTATAAAATGATTAATTAATCAATTAAGAGAACAAATTCAAATCGTGATATGCAATCATACCGGTTAAACATAATCGTGGAATGGGCAATTGCTCTGTTATCATCGGAGTGGAAGTTCTCAATGTAAACATGCCTCTAGCTACAGGTAATGCCATTGTTCTCGTACATAACGTGAGCAAGTGTCTTTCCTGCTCTTCTATGAATTCGTGATCGCTTACATTTGATCTTTGAACTATTGCTATCCTCATTGGTTTTGAAGAATTAAGCAACCTTCGTACCTCAGCAATTCTATGATCCTTACTAAATCGTAGTTTTAATATCTATTGAATAAAATAGAGTTCATATTATAAGCATTGTAAAAAAATGTATCTATATATTTAATATAGAGACAGATAAATGCAGAAAACAATCATTTACCATATCATCAAATTCCATGCCGTCATCTTGTTCATCCTTTATTCCATAATCTTTTGTCTCACTGTCAATATATTGCAATCTCGAAAATGGTTTTAAATGCTTATCTAACACGGCTAGATCTTGACGATCTATGAGTTCGTACGCATGCATAGGCCAATTCGACGGTGGACTTTCTCTACATCTATGCATAACATCTTTTATCATCAAAGA